TGAGGTGCAAATGGGTGTGGAATCTTCTTGGAACTGCTTGAAAGGACTGCATTGTAGACAGGAGATAGGTGGTGCCATATTCAGAGTTTATTTTTATACTTTTTAATCTTTTTTATTATAGCTGTTTTGCTTCCTTTATGTCATAAGCTGCCTTAAACTTTTAAACAGGAAGTCAGAATATAAATTGAGCAAATAAAATAATTCAACAGGATTAACCAAAAAAAAAAAATAGTAGAGAAGCAATATGTGGTGGTCTTCTTTAAACATATTACCATCTATTTCTTACACATTTTAGGCTGAGTAAAGTCCATCAAATGACTATATTCCAAACAAAATTATGATCTGTGATTTAATATATGTAGATCCTGTCAACTTTCTTTGGCATCTCTAGAATTTTATGTTAATACTATTATTGATAATCAGCAATACAATATTTCGGCAATTGTAAACTCATGAAAAGTGAACATAGGTCAGAGATTTATGAAAAGCATAGTGTAAATCTTAAAAAGATTTCAGGAAGTACAAGTAACAAAGAAATATTGAAAACTTTTCCTAAAGAAAAATGGAAGTCTGGTGAATCAAATATAGGATAAACTAGGTTTTGTTGTTGAATTTTTTTTACTTCAGCAGATTTATCAAACAACTTCTATGCATCCTGCTTTCTTTCTTTTGTTTTCCATAGTTTCTGGTAGCATCTCAAGGCAAGCTTCTGCCCAATCCATCAGGCATCCAACCAGTGGGAATACCTGCTAGTAACACCACATGCTCTGTATTTCTTATCAAAGTGAAGAAACTGACAGCATTGCATGAAAGGCACAGCATGAGGTATTTGTGCCTTGTAATTTTCTCTTTCAATTAACATTATCATACTCTTTTTTCTGACAAAGATACTGTACTTTTCATGTTCCTAAACATTTAATCACACACAGGGATTATTTTTTCCTATAAAATGGACATCACCTATTAAGGGTGTTTTGAGAAAATTCTCTTCATATATATTTTGTCGTGATTATTGATTAAAACTACAATATCCCAAGTATATATGTATCAGGTATTTTACTGATTTTGGCATTTGTATTCTCCTCCACAGTTTTCCATATTGAATCCTGCTTTACTTTCTTCTCACAGATCTATGGAGATAGTTATATTGAGGGAAGCTGGATGCTCTCCAATGGCCAAGTGGAAATTGATTTATCCCACAAATTGCATTGATTGATTCATTCCATAACCTGCACTAGTCAATCCTCCAACAACCATGCTCTCTGATATCCATTTATTTGAAAAATAAAACAATTTAATGAAAGCAGGAGAACAATAGAATATTATTAAATGCTGCATCCATCCCAAATGCAACATTAAAATCAAATAATATAATATTTGCTTTCCTCTTTGACTGCCAACAGTACTCTTCAGCCAAAGTCCAACATTTAAAGTCACTAACTGACAGAACAGACCATCATTTCCTACTTCAAGTTACAAACACATAGACAGTCAGAAAGACCACCACATTTATAAGTAAAGCAATCCAAGAGTTTCTTATCTAAATTCCTCGTCTACGTCAGGAATTTTTCGGCTTTTAACCCTTGCTTAACTCTGCTCGAGTGATCATAAAAAGTCAGACTAGATGAGGCATGTTATTCTTCTGCCTCCTCCTGTAGAGGGCGCTTTTTTAGAGGCCTTTTTAAACAGTTAAGCACTAAGCAGAG